TTTTGGTTTTTCCAAGATGGGGTTTCTCTATGTAGTTTTGGTGCCTGTCCTGGATCTTGCTCTGTAGCCCAGGCTGGCCTCGAACTCACAGAGATCGGCCTGGCTCTGCCTCCCAAGTGCTGGAATTAAAGGCGTGCTCCACCACCACCTAGCTGAGATTGCATATTTTTGACCAGAGGAGTTCTTCCTTAGTAGGCGTTGACGGCTACTATAACACTATCTCAAAAAAGAAAGAAAACCTAAAATAAAAATAGGTTGCAAACCTTAACCATTAATGAATATCTCAAACAATTTGTCTAGGGCTTGGAGAGGTGGCTCAGCCGTTAAGAGCACTTGCTGGTCTTGTAGAAGATTGGAGTTCAAGTCCTAGCACACATATCAGGTGGTTCTGACACTCTCTTCTAGCCTCCATAGATACCTACATGCGCATACACATACACAGACACACACACACACAATTAAAAATAAAAAAAAATTATTAAAACCACAAGTTACATAATTTCCCAAAAGAAATTAAAATCTTTACGTAAAAAGAAATCACCTGATGCTCACAAGGTAGAAATTTGACTTAGAAGCCCACAAGTGGTGGAATGTGTTTCTTTGTATTAATTCCCACCATAACATCTTCACCCCAAAGCAATGATTCTTTATTACTGATTAACCAAGTTTTAAGCAAGCCAAGTCTATTTCAGCCAGTTCCTTTGGACTGGCAGGCAGCTGTTTGAGGTTTCAGCATAGCAGTTCCTACAAAACTTTGCTCCAAGTGCTCAGCTAACCCTCCAAGTTTCTTTACACACAATAGGGTCATTTAATTTCCTTTCACAACTTTGTTTTTCTCAGGGTGCATACTGAAATCTGTGATTAATTCTGTAAGCTACATGACCAAGGAACTCAGAGCTAACCTTGGGTGTGGGGACATAATTGCTTTCTTTGATCATCGGCCTGTTTTTCCACATGCAGAATCCATGGGTCGGTCTATAATGCATGAGACTTCCTTGTTATTTTCCATCCTCGGTAAATCTCACATCTAACAGAGGAAAGGTAACTTCTAGCTTATTTTTGCTTTTTTGTATCTCTTACTGGAGCAAACGGCAGAATACCCTAAACCATTCCCTAATCATTTTTACTTGGCCAACTGTATCTTTTTTGGCTGACGCAAAGTTCAATTAAATCATCGATCTAACTAATCATCATTGCTTTTATAAAAATCATCTTCATTCTGTTCTGCAAGTGCATTGCCCAGTGAGGAGTGGCGTTTTCCCATGAAGCAGTCTCACTATCCTAGATGCACTGGGATCCTTTCACACCACGCCAAATAAGGCAGGACCACAACAGCAGCGAGATGGAGGAAGCTCAGCAGGAGCAACGGGTATTATGGAGATAATCCTCCTGGGGGTGGGGCTTTGCCTCTCCTGGGTTTAGCTTTGCTGTTTGGTGAACTGGACCCCATGAGCTCCATTGCTGACTGTAGCTCCTCTGACATGGCCACCGACCCTGACTTGAAATGGGAAGGATTGCCCAAGGCAGAAGGGAACAAGGAGATGAGGGGAAAAAAATCAACAAAAACAAATGTCCTGCCGGGCGGTGGTGGCGCACGCCTTTAATCCCAGCACCCGGGAGGCAGAAGCAGGCGGATCTCTGTGAGTTCAAGGCCAGCCTGGACTACAGAGTGAGTTCCAGGACAGGCTCCAAAGCTACACGGAGAAACCCTGTCTCAAAAAAACAAAACAAACAAACAAAAAAACAAAACAAAACAAAAAACCAACTCGTGGAAAACAGCCACAAAGAAACCTATTATTTTGCACTAATTAAAAAGTAAAGGGCTCTGGGTGTGGTGGCACACACCTTTGATCCCAGCACTCAGGAGGCAGTGGCAGGTGGATCTCTGAGTTCCAGGACAGCCAGGGCTACACAGAGAAACCCTGTCTGGAAAAACAAAACAGCAAAAAATATAAAGGGCTGGACAGGCATGGGGGCTGCACAGATGGCTGTCAGTAAACCGCTGCACATGCACACATTATGAGTACGTGCGTGCGTGCGTGTGTGCGTGCGTGCGTGCGTGCGTGCGTGTGTGTGTGTGTGTGTGTGTGTGTGTGTGTGTGTATAAACATTAAGCAAATAAATAAGTAAATAAATAAATACCATAAAAACCAAGGCTAGACATGTAGCTCACGTGGTAGAGTGCTTGGCGAGCATGCGCAAAGTCCTGGTTTTGATTCCCAGCACTGCATAAAGCCAAATGTGGTGGTGGACCGCCAAGAACAGCAGTACTTAAGAGGCCATGGCTGGTGTATTCCTGTGAGTTCATGGCCAACCTGGTCTACAAAGGAAATACGAGTCCAGTCAGGGCTACGTAGTGAGATCCTATCTCAATCAAAACAAATAAATAAATAATTGGTTTTTTTTTCTTTTTTAATTTTTCTTGTTTATTTATAGGAATACAGTGTTCTGCCTGCATGTGTCCCTTAGGCCAGAAGAAGGTATCATTTCAGGTAGTTGTGAGCCACCATGTGGTTGCTGGGAATTGAACTCAGGACCTCTAGAAGAGCAGTCAGTGCTCTTAACCCCTGAGCCATCTCTTCAGCCCCAAATAAATAATTGTTAAAGGAAATAAGATACCATTGAATAGATTTTGGCTTGGGATGAGGACAAAAATTCCAAGTATTTCCAAATGAACCTAAACGTACATCTGTCATTTTGTGGTTATTTATGCAAAGTCACACTCTCAGCATTAAAAATTATAAAGTCAAAATATCAAGAGATCTGGAGGGGCTGGAGAGATGGCTCAGTGGTTAAGAGCACTTGCAGCTCTTCCAGAGGACCCTGGTCCTGGAACCCATATGGTGGCTCATAACCTATTATAACTCCAGATTCAGGGGATCCAATGCCTTCTTCTTCTTCTCTATCTATCTAGCTAGCTAGCTATCGAGACAGGGTTTCTCTGTGGAGCACTGGCTGTAGACCAGGCTGCCCTAGAACTTGGAGATCCACCCGCCTGTGCCTCCCGAGTGCTGGGATTAAAGGTGTATTGCCATTACCAGCCTAATTTTTTTTTTCAAAATAAATTTTGGAAAACTCTAAAGGTTCACTATATCCTATGTAATCTAATATTCAGCCAATACTTAATTTTTATGCAAAAAATAAACATGTGCATCTCATAAGTCTGCTTCTATCTTTAGTAACGGTAAAGTTATAAACTTGTTTTAAAATATTTTTCTTGGGGGCGGAGGGATTACTTAATGGTTAAGGTTAAGAGCACTTGCTATTTAACCTTATTCAGAGGACTGGAATTCAATTGCCAGGACCAACACTGGGCTGCTCACAACCTACAACTCTAACTCCAGGTGACCCAACACTCTCTTTTGGCCACTTTGAGCGAGCACACACACATGCTCATACCTACACACAGACAATACATACACCCACACATAAATAAAAACTTCACAAAGTTGCCAGGTGGTGGTGGTGGTGGTGGCGGCGGCGGTGGCAGCGGCGCACGCCTTTGATCCCAGCAGACAGGGAGGCAGAGGCAGGCAGATCTCAATGAGTTCAAGGCTAGCCTGGTCTACAAAGCGGGTTCCAGGACAGCCAGGACTATTATACAGAGAAACCCTATCTTGAAAACAAACAAACAAACAACAAACAAAAATGTTTCAAAAAGCTTTTAAAATATAATGTGACTTTATTTGCAATTTTTTTCACAATAAAATTTTAAATACATTTTAAAATAATTACAAATAAAATACCCTTTTTTCCCCCTGAGACAGGGTTTCTGTGTAAACCTGTCCTGGGACTTGCTCTGTAGACCAGACTGACCTTGAACTCACAGGGATCCGCCTGCCTCTGCCTCCTGAGTGCTGGGATTAAAGGCGTGTGCCACCACCACTGAGCTTTATAAAATATATTTTTTACATTATAAAACCATCTGTTTTAGGCCTTTA